AATATCGTGAAAATGGCCATACTGCCTGAAGTAATTTACAGAATCAACGCTATCCCCATCAAGCTACCGTTGACTTTCTTCACAGAACTGGAAAAAACCACCTTGAACTTCATATGGAACCAAAAGAGAGCCCGCATAGCCAAGTCAATTCTAAGCAGAAAGAACACAGTGGGAGGCATCACACTACTGGACTTCAAACTATACTACAAGGCTACAGTAATCAAAAAAGCATGGTACTGGTACCAAAACAGAGATATAGACCAATGGAACAGAACAGAGGCATCAGAGACAACACAACATATCTACAACCATACAATCTTTGATAAACCTGACAAAACAAGCAATGGGGAAATGATTCCCTGTTTAATAAATGGTGTTGGGAAAACTGGCTAGCCATGTGCAGAAAGCAGAAACTGGACCCCTTCCTGACACCTTACACTAAAATTAACTCCAGACGGATTAAAGACTTAAACATAAGACCTGACACCATGAAAACCCTAGAAGAAAATCTAACCAAAACCATTCAGGACATAGGAGTAGGCAAGGACTTCATGACCAAAACACCAAAAGCATTGGCAACAAAAGCCAAAATAGACAAATGGGACCTAATGAAACTCCACAGCTTCTGCATGGCAAAAGAAACAGTCACTAGAGTGAATCGGCAACCAACAGAATGGGAAAAAATGTTTGCAGTTTACCCATCTGACAAAGGGCTGATATCCAGAATTTACAAAGAACTCAAACAGATTTACAGGAAAAAAACAAACAAGCCCATTCAAAAATGGGCAAAGGATATCAACAGTTTACAAAAGAAGACATACATGAGGCCAAAAAACATGAAAAAATGCTCATGATCACTGGTCATTAGATGCAAATCAAAACCACATTGAGATACCATCTCACACCAGTTAGAATGGTGATCATTAAAAAATCTGGAGACAACAGATGCTGGAGAGGATGTGGAGAAATAGGAACACTTTTACACTGTTGGTGGGAGTGTAAATTAGTCCAACCATTGTGGAAGACAGTGTGGCGATTCCTCAAGGACCTAGAAATAGAAATTCCATTTGACCCAGCAATCCCATTACTGGGTATATATCCAAAGATTAGAAATCGTTCTACTATAAGGACACATGCACACGAATGTTCATTGCAGCACTGTTTACAATAGAAAAGACCTGGAACCAACCCAAATGCCCATCGATGATAGACTGGACAGGGAAAATGTGGCACATACACACCATGCAATATTATGCAGCAATCAAAAGCGATGAGTTTGTATCCTTTGTAGGGACATGGGTGAATCTGGAGAACATCATTCTCAGCAAACTGACACAAGAACAGAAAATGAAATACCACATATTCTCACTCATAGGCGGGTGATGAAAAATGAGAACACATGGACACAGGGAGGGGAGTACTACACACTGGGGTCTATTGGGGGGAATAGGGGAGGGACAGTGGGGGGGAGCTGGGGAGGGATAGCATGGGGAGAAATGCCAGATGTGGGTGAAGGGGAGGAAGGCAGGAATACACACAGCCACATGTGTACCTATGCAACTATCTTGCATGTTCTGCACATGTACCCCAAAACCTAAAATGCAATTGAAATAAATAGATAAATAAAAAAGAGTTTGAAAGCTGGAAAAAAAAGAAACTTGTGTAAGCCCTGCGAAGTTCTTGTGTTTTTCAGCTCCATCAAGTCGTTTATATTCTTCTCTAAGCTATTTATTCTAGTTAGCATCTCATCTAACCTTTTTTCTACGTTCTTAGTTTCTTTGTATTGGGTTAACACATGTTCTTTTAACTCTTTTAGTTTTTTTTAGAATGTTGTTATTACCCACCTTCTGAAGCCTGTTTTTGTCAGGTCATCAGATTCATTCTCCATCCATGTTTTTTTCCTAGGTGGTCAGGAGTTGTGAACCTTTGGAGGAGGAAAGGCATTTGGTTTTTTGTGTTTTTATCATTTTTGTGCTGGTTTCTTCCCATCTTAGTGGCTTTTCTCCCTGTGGTCTTTGTAGTTGGTTACTTTCGGATGGGGTCTGTGAGTAGACGTCCTTTTTGCTGATGATGAAGTTATTTCTTTCTGTTTCCTAGTTTTCCTTCTAATAGTCAGGCCCTCTGCTGCAGGACTGCCATAGGTCGACTTCAGACCCTGCTTACCTGGGGATCACCCGTGGGGGCTGCAGGACAGTAAGGATTGCTGCCAGTTTTTTCTTCTGTTATATCTGTCCCGGGAGGGTACCTGCCAGATGTTAGCCTGAGCTCTCCTTTATCAGGTGTCTCTTTGGGTATATGGGGGTTGGGGAGCTGCTTGAGGAGACAGTCTGTCTTTTATAGGAGCTCAAGTGCTGTGCTGGGAGCTCCATTGTTCCATGCAGAGATGCTAGGCAGGTACTTTTAAATCTGCTATAGCAGAACTCATATCCGCCTTTTTTCCCAACTGCTCTGTCCTAGGAATGTCAGCTTTATTTATAAGTTTCTGTCATGCTGCTGCCTTTTTTCATAGATGCCCTGCCCCACATGGAGTAGTGTAGTTACAGTCTGCCAGCAGAGGCATTGCTGAGCTGCTGCAGGCTCTGCCCAGCTGTTGTGTGAACTGCCTCAGTAGTGTCAGACTGCTTGAGTAGTGGGGGATGCCCTTCACCCCACTGAGCTGGACCATCCTGGGTGCAGCTGTGCTTCCTGTGAAATTCTCAATCCAGAGCATTTCAGAATGCCTGTTTTGTAGGGGTGGTACCCACCAAGCCGGTTCACCTGGCTCCCTGTCTCTGTCCCTTCCTTTAGGTTGAATGGGGGGCTCGGTCTCCTAGGCATTCCGGGCACCAGTTAAAATGGCTGCCCAGATTTGTGTGAGTTTCTGTGTGCCAAGCCAGCACAAGCTGAAACCGCCATGCTGAAAACTCATGGTGCTTTTTGGCCCAGGAATCTCCTTGTCTGTGGGCAGTGAAAATTTGATTGGAAATTTAGTGGACACTCACCCTCTGCATTGTTCCTGCTGAGAACTGCATTCCAGAGCTGTTCCTATTCAGCCATCTTGGATCCCTATCAATGTTGTCACTTTTAGAATAAGTATGATGTGATGCTGAGAAGAATGTATATTCTGTGGGTTTGGGGTGGAGAGTTCTGTAGATGTATGTTAAGTTCACTTGGTCCAGATCTGAGTTCAAGTCCTGGATATTTTTGTTAATTTTCTTTCTTTTTGATCTTGACAACAAAATGAGTCGGGTATTAAAATCTCCCACTATTATTGTGTGGGAGTCTAATTCTCTTTGTATGTCTCTAAGAACTTGCTTTATGAATCTGGGTGCTCAAAATGTTCTCTGTCTTTGACTTTTGACAATTTTATTATCATGTGTCTTAGTGTAGATTTCTTTGGATTCATCCTATTGGGTCATTTTAGCTTCCTAGATCTGGATATCCATTTCCTTTCTCAGATTTAGGGAGTTTTCATTCATTATTTCTTTAAATAAGATTTCCAGTTCTTCCTGTCTTCTCTTGGGACTCCCATAATGCATATATTGGTGTGCTAATTAATGGTGTCCCATAATTTCTTTAAGCTATTTTAGCTTTTTATTCTTTTCTTTGTACCCTCTGACTGTATGACAATCTGTGTTTGAGTCTGCTTATTATTTCTTCTGCTTGCTCTAGTCTGTCATTGAACTCCTCTATTGGATTTTTTATTTCGGTTACTATATTCTTCAGCTTTAAGACATCTGCCTATTCTTTTAAATTTTCTGTCTCTTTGTTGAAATTTACTTTTTGTTCATGGATTGTTCTCTTGATTTTGTTGAGCTTTTCCATGGTGTATATTTTGAATTGCTTGTCAGGCAATCCATATATTTTCACTTCATTAGAGTCAGTTTCTGGAGTTTTAACTTGTTTCTTTGTTCAGATTTTGTTACCCTTTTTCTGCACATCATAAGAATCCACTACCTCTCTCAGTCATATGGATTGGCCTTTTATAGGAGAAGACATTCATCAGCCAACCAACCCAGAGCTTATATGGGCTTTTTAAATCATTTTGCTAGTTTAAACTGCTTTCTTTTTTATTAGTGGCCCCAGGCATCCAGAGTTTGTCCAGTCTCACCAATGCTCCTAGACAGGTGGCATAAAGCCATTCTCTTGGTAGCTCCTGGAGAATTTAGAACCCTGGGTGCATGTTCCAACCCTTTTCCTTCCCAGGGAGAAGCTGGGAAATGGGATTTTTTTCCTACTCTGTGTTAAGCCAGATACAGGAGCTGTGGTGGATGCCAGCAGGCTAGTTGAAATTGCCACTTTCTTCTCTGTAGCCCTCAGGATACTATGATATACCAGATCCTTTCAACTCTGAAATAGGTGAGAAAGAAGCCAATCTTTCTCAAGTGGCACCTGGAAAAGTTGGGATATTATATTTGCAGTCCAACTTCTCCCATTATGAGGTAGAATGTGGGACTGGGAGTTTCCTCCCGATCCTATGGAACTGTGCTGGGAGTTGGGATTATGATGAATGGATGTTTTGCTTTTTCTACAGATGTTTTGTTTACAATCTGGCTGGTTTCATACTCATCCAGGGTGTAGGAGCCTCTCCATGTGTTGCTGGGTTTCTCATAAAGGGAATTGATCCTTCTGCTGCAATTAAATCAGTGTATCTATTGGGGGAAGGTGGGTCCAGGGCTTCCTATTCTACCATCTTGCTGATGCCACTTCTCTCCCTTATTATTACATAAAACTATATGTGAATTCTTAATTTTCTCAAAGTAGAAGCTTAATTTGATTGTTTAAAGAAGCTTAAGTTTGTTCAAGTCTAAAATGTCTCCTTCAGCTGAGATTTTTTGCTGGTATCTTTACTTTTCCCAATTATGAGCATGTCTAGTCTTTTTAATGCCATCACATTACAGTACTCTTGAGATCTTCCCAGCTACTAGGCTAATATTTTCTTGGCACAAGGAAAACATTGGTAATCAATTACTCCAGCAATACTAACCCACTTTCCCCCCTCCCCTTGTTGTCTATTTGAGGTTCTGGTGTGGGATGTATAACCGCTTTGACAAAGGGCTGCAGCCCAAGCAGAGTATGCTAGAGAGCCTCCTGGAAATTAAGAAACAGAGAGCAATGCTGGAGACAGATGTGCATGAACTAGAAAAGGTGAGGAGAAAACTCCCAAAGAGAGTTATTCTTGCCCCTTCTGGGTAGGTCCAGCCTGCTTGGACTTGAGTTAATACTTGCAGAAAGCTGCCTGGCTGGCTTTTCTATATCTTTGGCTTTCCATGTGACCCATGTCTACAAAGCTTTGTGCATAACTCCTTTTGTTACTTCCCAAAATGTGGTAAATATGTCACTTAACTAGAAAAAAACAAGTGAATTTGTTCCCTTATCTCTTTTTGGATCTGGATGGAATGATTTGCAGGAACTAGAAGGAATGACAGAGAAATCACATAGCATTTGTTATCCATCATTTGGGTATGCTGATAAGAACAGTGCAATCGCTGTCTTCCAATTAAGAAAATCTTATAAAAGAAGATTTTTATTTCCTTTCCACATAGACTGCAAACTCTGTTTATTGAGTGACCATGTTGGACATTTGTTTTTTAATTACAGATTACAGAAGTCAAAAAGTATTTCTTATTAATTTCATAAACTGAGCTGCTTATAAAATGTAGGGATCCCTAAGGGTTTGTTTGAAGGACAGGGGAAGGGTATTTCTTATAAAAGAATTATTGGAAATGGTGTGCTATTCAGGAACTGGGTGTGAACCCACTTTAAGCCAAATAAGGCATAGGTTTTCTCTCCCTGTAAGTAAACAAATGTCAATTTAATGTGAAAATAAAAGTGTTGTGATTACATCAGATCCCAAACATTTTAATGTCCTATTGGGAAGCAACAGCCAGTTACTTGGTTCCATTTTTTTTTTTTTTTAAAAAAGATGTGTGGGAGCCGGGGGGGAACTAAAGCATAACTTAAAATCATAGAAACATGCAACCCAGGAAGGCCCAGCCCTAAGTAGATTAGATGTAGTAGATAAACTTCTTCTTAGGGCTCCTCTTTTAGCTACTAACAGATTCTTCCACAGGGCCCTCAGGGAAGGTCCCCTAATCCAGACCCAGCCCTCCCACTTATCCCTGCCTGACTCCTGAGAAAGAATCAGATTCTTTTCACATAGACTTAGATCACTCTGGAAAGACTTCCTTTTGAAGTGTGTATGTGTATTTGTGTATGTGTTATTAACTTCCTTTTTTTAATACAGAGAAGAAAAACAAAAATGGCTTATAATATCACCCAGACAACCCTGTTGACTTTTTTTTAAAAAGGCAATATCGGTATAAAGTTAGAAAATACAGAATACAATAAGGTACAAAATGAAAAGTTTAAAAGACTCCCCCCACCACCTTCAGAAAAATGTATGCATTCTATCCTCACTGATGAATGCATTTTTCTAAAGAGAAGGTCCATAATTTTCATCAGATTTTCAATGGGGCCTTATGACCCCAAAGAATCACTGTTGTAAAGTATCAGTGAATCACTATATTATCTCAGAAAGTGAAAATATCTATTAGAGGTAGCATGAGGTAGGCAACAGGTCATAGACTTTGCAATTAGGCAGATGTAGGGTCAGATCCTAGTTCTTCACTTTCTGCATGTGTGAATTTGGGTGACTTACTTAAATTCTCTGAGCCTCAGTTTCTTCATCTGTAAATATAGCTAATACCTAAACTAATACGTTTATTATAAGGATGAAGGGAAATGCTGTATGTAAAGTGCCCAGCACATAGAGGTATTAAATAAATACTAGTAATCTGTTCCCTGGCCCTCTCCCCATCCCATGAACAAAATTGCACTTATCAGAAAAGAGGACTTTTATAGATATAAGACCTGTGAGATTCTTCAATGGTAGGGCTTCTAAAGTACTATGGCATGTGACGAGGGAAAGATGTTGTGGGGGAGGAGGTGAGCAAAAGGCTATTTGTTACCATTATAAGTCACAGCAGTAGGATCTCTGCAGGTCAAGGTGATGTTTGCCTAGTTTTTCCTCCTGTTTCTAATTCTTCTCAACCCTTTCTTGCTCCTGAGGCAGAAACTAAAAGCCCGTGATGAGCCACCAGAAGAGATCTGTACCTGCTCTCAATTAGGAAACTTATTATCCCAACATCTGGGAAGTCCTTTGACCAATCCTCTTGGCTTTATGGGTATTGATGGAGACCTGAATACCTTGATGGAAAATGGCACCCTCTCCAGGGAAGGAGGCCTCCGTGCTCAGATGGATCAAGTAAAAAGCCGGTGTGCAGACCTCCACCATGACTGTTGCAGGATTGTGGGCAGCCTTAGGGCCATAAATATCTCTGGGGATGTGGGCATCTCTGAGACCATGGGCATCTCTGGAGACATGAGTACTTCTGAGGCTACAGAGTTCTCCAGAGACTTAGGAATCTCTGGGGACATGGACATCTCTGAAGCCATGGGTATCTCTGGAAACATGGGTATTTCTGAGGCCAGGGGTTTATCTGGAGAACTGAGTTTCCCTGGGGACATGGGCATCTTGGGAGACACAGGCATCTCCAAGGCCAGCACCAATGAGGCAGACTACTCCAAGCAGCAGTGAATTAGTTACTCATCTGCTTCCATGCTAGGTACACCTACAGCAGCTACAATGATTATTGTCCCAGAGAGGGCTCTGCTACTTTTCCAATTGGTTTAAGTGGGTGAGGCCAGGTCACCCCTCTTCCCACTTAAGAGTCTAGAAGGAAATTACTTTGATGATTAAGTGACCAATATGTTCATATTAAGCAGTACAGAGTATAGTCAAGGCAAAGAATATGTTATCATTCTAAAATGGGATTTAACTATAGAAATGTTGCCTCTCAGCTGAGACATGTATTAAGCTGGTTCTACTGTCTGTTTTCCTTAATGATTGACCTCCCCTGTTTTCTACCCTCACTGATGTAATGTGAGAGTGAATGGAAGTATTGTCACAATGGTCAATAACGACCCATTTGAGGGGATGGAGAGATGGTATACACCAGGTAACTAAATTGCAGAATATATTAAAAGAAAATTTTACTTTCGGATATTCTTAGTCATGAGATGTTAGCTAACATTATTGCCAATGGAGACATACAATATTTCCCTGAGAAAGGAATCAAAATGATGCTTTTCAAAATGATGCTAATCAAAATTAGCATGAGTACATGGGTGTTTGGTGGTTTGAAGCATGTAAGGAAAGTTTTCTTAGGTTATGACACTTACTCTCTCCAACCCACACCCCAGCTAGGTCTTGTTATAATACTTAGCCAATTCCCTTTTTCATAGATGGCTCATAGGTAAACTTGCATCCACTACAGTATGAAATTATAAAATTTCAAATTAATGAGGTTTGAATTAATAACATTGATTAATAGCATTCTCAGCATCAGTTCAGGAAGTAACTGAAAATCTCGATGCTTCAGACTCAGACTGAGACATGGTCTATGTGGGTTTTTGCAAAATATGTCCGTTTTGGGGTCTTTTTATGAAGACAAGTGGTTTTCCTTATATAGACATCACATGAGATTTGTGGATTTTTTAGACACAATTGGCCCTACTTTTAAATCTGGTAGGTTTATCACCTTGTGCTAATGTACACTTTTGAATAAAGTCCATTCTGATAGCATATCCAGATATGTCTGGGGAAAGGAATGCATTTTTATTTAAACATTAGATTTTCTCCTAGGGCTTGATATACTTGATGGGTTTTTCATCTTTCCTATTGGATATTTAGTCATGATTTTGCTACTTCCACATACTGAGAGTAAGATAGGCCTTGGTCAGTTTGGATCATGCTCTGTATATTCTCAGCAATTCCAGAACTCTTAATGCCAACAGAATCCAAGTCCTCAACCAAAATGTATTTTCCAAATACTCTATATTTGGCTTAAGCTAAAAAATTAGATGACTTAAAGATGCATCTCTTGATTTTCACATCCAGTTGTGCACATAGAAATCTCTAGAGGATTTAGATGCTTTCCTTCAAAAAATCTCTGAAGGATTAGGTGCTTTTCTTTGAAAGAAAATGGGTACTTTTTAAGGGTTTAATTTATGTGTAGGAGAGGAATACCAGGATAGCTCCTTGATTTCTTATCCCTAGCTAAACTATAGACCCAAAATAACCTCTTTAGTGGAAGAACTCTAAATCATTTTGGTTGTCTTTTTTTAATATATAATGGAGTCATTTTTCTGTTTATTTCTTCTTGGTAACTGTTTTAATTCTTTGTTTTTAAAGAACTCTTAACTTGTTTGTGATTTTCCCATTAATAAATAAGGGCCATATTTTACTTAAATCTTCTTGATAGCTGCCTTGATCCTATAATTTTAAAGCATTAAGACGATTTCCTTTTCTATCTCTCTGGTCCTCCTCTTTCCATGATTTAGTCCTTACCTTATATAAACTAAATCATCAGATGTTGCCAGTTGTCATTTAACTTCTTTTGGAAAAAAAAATGGGGTTTATACACACCATTTTGATCTGGAGGTTACATGTAATTCTGGCTTTGTGAAGGATGTTGCCAAAAAGGATGATGGTACCAATCTGCCACCAGTGAGCCATTCTGGAGCTTGCTCCCACATCTTTCTCCCATATCTCAATATGTATTTTGCAGTCCATTAATTAGCATGATGTTCTAGATAGAGTATATTGAGTTTTCAGGGAAGAAAGTAAAAAGGTAAGACATGGTAGTTTTTGCAAATTCCAAAAAAATCTAAGTCTTCATTTATTCCTAAAGGTCTGTACAAGGACACTACATAGTACCTAACCTTATTTGTTAGATCAAAAACAAGATTAATCAATAGTGAAAGGAAAGGCTTTTGAATATAATTCTAAACTGAGAAGTGGTAAACCACAACCCTGGTATTTTCAAAAATGAAAACAAAATTTTTAAGAGACTGTATTATTTTGTTAATTAAGGCCATGGGAGCAATTTCAGTCTCAAAATCTGTGAGGTCAGTTAGTTTGGTCTTTGATAGTTTTACTCTCCAACATGTCCCATTATTGCTTGCATATAACAAATGCAGAACTAAGAAAAACTTGAAAATCACCGATTTATTCTCAACACCCAACACCTTTTGGTTTTACAGTTGAATTTGAAAATCTGAGAGAAGAAAAGATGGAATCCAGATATTTATACACTAGTAAAAGCAGAGTAGCTATCTGTAGGTAGGAGCCCAGCAATAGTGAGGAGACTTGTGAAGGTAAGTTGGCGGGAGTACTAGAAAAGATGATCTATTAATGGCTTTCACTTCATACTCTGATATAACACCTATGCTGCGAAAGAAATATGACTCCCTACCCACACTGCCCTACCCTACCAGTTCCCCAAGCAGAAATTCCATTCTCATGAGACTGCTCTACTTAAATTGGAAGGCATTTAACCACCTGCCACTGTCATCCACTAATCTGACCTCTGCTTGCTTTCTATACAAGTTTCACAGGCCTGGGGTTACTGCTTATCTTTTTTAAGCATGAGGCATGCTCTGTTTCTGTACTTGTGCCCAGACTCAGATTCTACCATGGCCACTGTTTTAAAAATTCATTAATTATTTGCTTAGTTGATGAAATGACAGATTTATCACAGTAATAAAATAATCTTAAATAACAAACTTAAATAACAGCTAACACTTTGACTTTTTAAAGAAGAAATTCACTAATAAGGTTTGCTCTGTGAAAGAAAACCTGAAACTAACCACAAGAATGTAAAGTTTATGGTGTATATATTAGACATATGTATCTTTGGAAAGTAGCCTTAGAAATTATGTTCAATTACCAGCAAATCAGATGTCATTGCCTGCCAACATGCATGAAAAACCTTTTGTCTGAGATAACCCTCACACTTCACTAAAAGTGAGACCTTTCTCAGATTCCAGCCAAAAGGAATCCAAATCTTTTTAAGGGGTGCTTTTCAAACTTAATTGGTAACTATTTAAGTTGGGTTTTAATTTAGTAGAAAGAGAAGTTTAATAACTAAAGATGATCGTGTTAGATCTTTGTTACATACTGGCTTTTATTAAACACCCAACTTTTCTCTATGCTAATTAGGCTTTGATATACTTTTGAGAAATCTCTCTGTGAGAGTATTTTATTAAATGTCCTTTTTTCTAAACAATTGTTTAGGGAAATGTAAATTACCTTTACGTTAAAATACCTCTCTCAAAAGGGGTTTACTATACTTCAGATTGGTTTATACCTAGGAAGATAATTCTCACTTTCTCTATTAATTCCTAATGTGTATAATTTAGTGATATTTAAACCAAATCTTTACCCCACCTTCAGGCCTCTCACTCCCAGAATCCTATGTATGATACAGGCAGATTCTCCAACCAAATCTGGTTGCTTTATTCTAAGTACCAAATTTACACCTGCTTTTTGATGTAGACATTTAAAAACAAACAAAAAGACATGGCTTAATTTTTACATGTTATTCCTGTGTTTTGTTTTTGTTTTAATATACTGTGAAGAAATGGTTGGGCTGTCAGGCAATACCAAACAGACAGAGGGAAACATGTTAGGTCATAAATGACTCTTGTTTTCTTGTCCTTTTAAAGGCGGTTGTGATTTCAAAGTATGTGATGGTGACATAGAAACTTTTCCAAAGAAAATCTGCTTTTCAAGCCCTGTAGAGCATGTCTTCTCTGATTCCCTGGCTGTGGGACTGACAGTCTTTCCCTTACTTTTAAATAGGAAGTACTAGTATTGTCACGAGTCTTGGCAGCTCATATCTCCTTTACATGTCAATGCAAGTAAAAGCATGTTACATTCTCTGCGATTTGTGACTTGTTTTCACAAAAGACAAGTGTGCTTTGAAAGCAGCTGTCTCATTTAGATCCATGGGTCTTGTAGGAACTGCGAAGTTGGCATGTTAAGTCTGGTGCCCTGTCCCTTGGTGCTTTTTAAAGCATTGTGGGTAACCTAAAAGCCTTTTTCTCTTCCAAAGCTTTGTTAACCTTTCAACCATTTTCATGGCTTTCATACTCTAACTTTTTAGAGGGCCCTACAAGAGCCCTTACAGAATTCTAGTTGTAGAGAAGGAGATGGGAAAGGTGAGGGGAAGAGAGTAATAAAGAAATATACCTGGCCAGTTCAATAAAAAGAGTATATACTTATTCATGATTACCAGAATTCCAGTTATTTAAAATTTCATGTGCTCCTTGAGATTAAATTGTTCATAATAAGGTCCAAAAGTCTTCTTTTCCAAGTGGTACTGAGAGTAATGTATTTTCTTTTTAAGGCTTTTACACTGATAGAAACTCTTTTCTTAAAAATGCTGTGAGTTGTGTATTTTCCTTCTTAACACTTTTCTCTGTTATGATATGTAGTCCTGGGTTTTCTTTTATTTTTAGAGAGTTAAGGCTGATGGGTGGTATGCTCTCCCCTTAGTATGTCCTTGAGGCAGATCAGTCATTAGCCCTGTTTTTGCTTCTTGTGCTGAAGCATCATTGGATTTCTCACCAGTCAGGTGAGAAACATACACCAAAGTCATAGATAATCACTGTTCAAAGACCCATGTCCTCTGGTCCCACTTCACATACATTTGGCAATACCAGTTCACATACAGTGCCTCCAAGTCTCCACTTCACTTGCATTTGCAGACAGGGTGATTTATTTTGTGAATGCCAGTGAGAAGCAGACCATGTATACTGCTTCTGAAACAGAGCATGTTGTAGATTCTACTTTGACAATCCCTCTGGCTTAGGAACAGCTAACAAGTTCAGTCCTTTCAGAATATAGCTCATGGTATAGCTGTGTGTGTGTGTGTGTGTGTGTGTGTGTGTGTACTGGAACTTTAGTAGCATCTGGTCTCATAGATTATTTGGGCATTCAGATGAAGAGGATTTGTCCAAGAATTTAGAAACTCTATTAGTGCAAAGCTTCTTACTTTGATATTGTCTAGCTAAGTTTAATGAGAACTTCGAGACATGCCAAGCCAGAGATACAAACCAAAGTGAAGCAATTGGCCTTTTCTCTGGGATTTATTATCAGGCAACTTTAAAAGTGAGATTCAATATATGACCGGTGTTATATGTAATATGTTAATGTCACCCACATACCTGCATGAAGAACATGCAACTCATGTACTAACACTGTCACAGCAGCTCAAGTCTGAACTTGCCAAGGTACAACAGTGTGAATGATTGACTTCATTTCCCTATCATATGTTATCTTGAGCGTTTCACACAACTGAGATATGGATGTATGACCAAGTGAAGATGTTCACTGCCAGTTGTTTTGTCCAGTGCCACAGATGCTCACTGGCCCTCTATTGCAGTTGTGTTATAGTTTGTAAATGTTTGGATGATACACTGTTTTTTGTCTAAAATTAAAAAGCCTTCAGTCTTTTGCATGTGTGAAGTTGTTCTATATTAGCTACAAATAAAAGAAAAGATGGCATACCTCCAAAAATGGTACACTGACCTAGCCTCAACAGATGAACCCCTTTATAAAGACAGAATCTGCAGATAGGTTAAAATATTCTCTGTTGATGTTAAAATAAAACAAGAAAGGTATCAGGGTACCTGGTTCTTAAGAGCACTGCCATTAACCAGCTGTGAGGGCAAGACTGACACCAACTTAACTCATAAAAGAGTGCGGACAGTATACCAGTTTGTTTATTCACATTGGGGACAGATCTGTTCAGGGACCAAGCTCTTTCTCCCCTTCCAGGGCCTTCTCTCTTGCCCCGGCCACCTCCTCTCCCAGCAAGAATTCCCACTCATGAACTTGGGGGTTATTTCCTCCAGGTCTCAAAAGAGCTTCCCTCTCTGGGGACCACATAATCAGGGCCTCCAGTGAGTAGAATACAGAGAGACATGGGTTCTAGTCCTGGCTCTACTAGTCCGGTGGCTTTGGGCAAGTCATTTTCTCTCTCTCAGCCTCAGAGGTCTCATCTATAAAATGAGAATAATTCTACCTACCACACAGGGTCGTTGTGCAGGTTAACTGAGCTAACATGTAAAGTACTACTTGCTAAAGTCCCTGGCACATAATAAAAAGTCAAAAAGCATTAGTCAGCCTCCTCCTACTTTCACCTTGATGCTGCTGATTACACTGACAAGTTCTTACTCTTATGCTTTCTTTTTCAACACCATTCAGCCCCTTCCTACACTTGACATATTGTCTTTATACAATCAGATTACAAAGATTACAATAATCTCTGTTCATTCAGAATGTTTTTAAAATATAGAGAACCAAAAAAGAAGACATCAAAATTTCTCTATGCAGAGAGAAATCTACATGCACATAGAAGAAATAGAACTATAATATATAATAGTCTCATTTAATTTTGAACATCTTTCCATTTCAAGAAATATAGGTTTATTTTGCTATTTTAATGGCCACATAGTATCTCACTATATGAACTATAGTTTATTTAACCACCCTCCTATTGTTAACCATGCTACAGCTTTCTTCTATATCAAATTTGAGGCTTGCCTTTCTGAGCTATACCCTAATTTCCTTGGTTAGAATTCAACAGCCTCTTTTCTGATTTGAGGTAACTGTTTTCCCTGAGGTGACCTATACAAATGGGTAATTTCATCTATTCTGGTAGGATTTTTTTTTCAACCAACAAACTATCAATCCTTTCTCCCATTACTATAAAGAAATACCTGAGACTGGATAATTTATCAAGGAAAGAGGCTTACTTGGCTCACATTTCCACAGGCTGTACAGGAAGCATTATGCTGGCATCTGCTTGGCTCCTGGGAAGGCCTCAGGAAACTTAAAATCACAACATAAGATAAAGGGGGAGTGAGGCATCTCACGTGGCAGGAGCAGGAGAGTGAAGAGGGAGGTGCTACACACGGTTAAACAACCAGATCTCAGGAAAAAAAAAAACATCTCACAGGAACTCTCAGGAGAACAGCACCAAGTGGATGATGCTAAACCATTAATGAAGAATCCCCACCTCCAACACTGAGGATTACAATTGGACATAAGATTTGAGCAAGAACACAGATCCAAACCATATCAAATTCTAAGGATAATTTGAGCTCCAAATTTTTATGGTACTTTGTACAGAACATAAGCATGATCTTGAAATTTATTCACTCTGTAGTCCCAAGGTAATACGCTGTGTTAACTGTGGATGTGGGTGTGGCAAGCTGGGCACTCTGAAGTCAACTATGTTCGCAACCTCCTGTCATTCAATAAAGGCCTAGTTTCACAGGAGCGAGGGTGTCAAAGGAAGCCTCTAAATGAGAAAGCGCTTCTGAATAAGTCAGCCCCCTGACCTATTGTGTTTCCTTATTTGCAAAACAAGAATAATCTCTACCCTGCCAGACTCATGCTGTGATTGTGACAGCCAAGGGAAACTGTAATTGCAAAAGCACTTTGTAAATTTGGAAGTACTTTTCAAATATAAATTGGTATTATTAATTTCAATCTTCAAATCCTGTCCAACTGAACTAGAACTAACTATAGAAGTAAGGAACAAAATCAAGTATTAATGGAGTATGTGTTGGCCTTTGGGGGAAAAATGCTACTTGGGTATATGTAAGGCACAGCACATTTGAAAGGCTACTTTGTTTCTCTAGGCCTGGTACATTGTATTTAAGACAGGTGGTTTGAGCTAGATGATTTCCAGGAAAAGGCTAAATACCTATTGAATGGTTCATCTGTGCTAGGTCTTAGGCTGGGAGCTTTAAATATATTTTATGTGGCTGAAATAACAAGTCTTGTTCAAAGTCACTGAGCTGGTATGTAGGCTACTAGGAGACAGGACTGACTGAAAATATTGTCTATCTTGAGAATTTCATACTCTAAAGTCCTATTGATTGGACTTCCAGTCCAGAGAAGACAGGGCAGATTCTTTTCTTACTATTTGTTTCCACTAAGCACAACTATAAGGCCTGGAAATAATACAAGTGACAACCAAAGGAGAACTCTGAAAGATGGTATGAAGGATAGCTTGTTTGGGATCCCAGGGCTGGGGTAACAACACAGCAGCAAGGTGTTTTATATCCTGTCACCCAACAAGATGTCAGTCCAGGCTGGGTATTTCTTGACCTCCAACCTAACAAAAGAAGGCAGCTCAGGTAGGCTTATTCCTCCCTGAGATCAAACAGGAGTCCCTCCAGCAAGAGGTGAGCCTGACAACATAATCAAGGGGGATTCATCAAGACATCAAGGCATCCCTAATCCCCACTAATAATGAGCAGCCAGGCCCTTCCCCACTCAGAGACATGGGCAGCCAGGAGACATCAGAAAAGAGGCCCTGCCATAAGTGCTCATCCCAGGATGACCACTCATCTCCACAGGCAGATGGGGGCCCTGTCAAAACAAGGGACTAGGCAGGGAAGCCTCTTTGTCCACTGCAGGCCTGCAAGTTCCAGGCTCAACTGAGAGACACTGGGCAACAGGCCTAGGGAAACCATTTCTGCTCCCCTCAGGCAGCACAACAGAAAACAGGAGGAGCCTGAATGGCACCAGACAAACCAGTCAGACCGAAATAGCACCAAAAAGCCTTCAAAAACTCAACTTTACTGGAATGATTGCTGACAAAGTTAGGAGAAAATCTGAATCTGAAAGCTAAACAAAGTGACTACTTGCTAAAATAGAAAGTTTAAAGTTAGAGTCTCCTAACATAATAGACAAAATGTCCAGGATGTAATAGAAAACTCACAATTTGAATTAAAAAAGACAATTGAGTGACATCAACACTGAGATAAATCAGGTGTCGGAATTACCTGACTAGGATTTTAAAACTGCCATCATAAAAAGGATTCAAAAAGCAATAAATAATTATTTGAAACAAATGGAAATTTTCAGCAAAGAAATAAAAGTTATTTTTAAAAAACCAAATGAGTGCAGTAGCTCACGCCTATAATCCCAGCACTTTGGGTGGCCAAGGCAAGTGGATCACCTGAGGTCAGGGGTTAGGGACCAGCCTGACCAATATGGTGAAACACTGTCTCCACCAACAATAGAAAATTTAGCCAGGCCTGGAGGTGTGTGCCTGTAGTCCCAGTTGCTCAGGAGGCTGAGATGAGATTTGCTTGAATCCAGGAGGCAGGGGTTGCAGTGAGCTGAGATTGTGCCACTGCACTCCAGCCTGGGTGACAGAGTGAGACTCCATAAAAAAAAAAAAATGAACGTGAGGCATGGTCCCAGCACTTTGGGAGTCTGAGGCAGGCAGATTACTTGAGCCTGGGAGTTTGAGACCAGTCTGAGCAACATGGCAAAACTCCCCTTCTCTACAGAAAATACAAAAATTAGCTGGGCATGTTGGTGCGAGCCTGTGGTCCTAGCTACTTGGGAAGCTGTTGGGGAGGATCATTTGAGCTGAGTAGGTTGAGGCTACAGTGAGCTGTGATTGCACCACTACACTCCAGCCTGGGTGACAGAGACCCTGCCTAAAAATAATAATAAAATAAAAAAGCCAAATGAAATGGTAATGGTACAAGTGAAAGATACAATAATGTTACAGTAGGTAAGTAGTCAAGTATGAACAGGGCAGGAATGTTGGGTGACCTTTGGCTGACGGTCAGGCGATTGTTAATAGTTTCTCTAAGGTAATAATTGGTCAAAGCTGGTGCCAGGGACAGTCAGTCTCCTAATAGATAGTAAACACTTAAAAGTAGCTTCCCAATAAGATCCTGGAAGTATGCCAGTGTATAAAGTCAAGAGGTCAAGCTGTCCACTTGGTTTCTCAAGTCATCTACTTGGCTGTCTTCCAGGTTGTACTTTCCTTCTTTCCTTTCCTTTCTGTTTTTTTCCTTACTAAAGCTTTTTAAATAAACTTCCACTCCTGCTCTAAAACTTGCCTTGGTCTCTTCTTCTGCTTTATGCCCCACAGTCAAATTATTTCTACTGAGGAGGACTGAAGTTGCTGCATACCCTTACAGTGTGCCACTGGTAACTTGGGATAACTCAGATCTCCTCCACCAGTAACAGTAACAGAAGAGAAACCAAAAACTCACTAGATGAGCTCCTAGTAGAAGAGAGATAACAGATAAGAGAATCAGTGAACTTGAGGTTATATAAATGGAATTTACCCAGTTCTAAAAAAAGAGAAAGCAAAGAAAAAAATCAAACTTCAGAGACTTGTGTAATAAAAAATAATTAAATTTCAAAACCATTCATATCTTTGGAGTTCAAGAAAGGAGAAAGAGAGCAGGGCCGAAAGAGGACTTGAAGAAATAATGCCTGCAAATTTTTCAAATTTAGTGAAAGATACAAACCCATAAATTCAAGAAACTGAGCAAACTTTTTTTTTTTTGATATGGAGTTTCACTCTTGTTATTCAGGCTGGGGTGCAATGGCATGATCTTGGCTCACCGCAAACTCTGCCTCCCGGGTTCAAGCAATTCTCTTGCCTCAGCCTCCCGAGTAGCTGGGACTACA